CCCCAAAACCCCAAAACCCCAAAACCCCGGAATCTTAGGAAATAATTGATTAATTAATAATTTATCAGTTTCTTTTTGGCATCAGCGACCTTTTTCATGACTTTAAGTCGATTATTGATCTCCCGCTGATATATCTTACAGTCAATCAGTTTGACATAGCTCTGCCTTCACTCATAAGGAATGGTCTTGAGGTACTCCCTAGTCTTCTTGAATATTCTTTGTCTGAACTGAACCTCAATAAATTTCAGATCAGCCATGGTATCTCAGTAGTAATGGTATGGCTCTTCTGGGCTTTCTTTAGCATTTTCGTCAAGATATGTTCATTTTTGAGCAGCTATTTTTGCTTCTTTGTACATCAGCCAAACATGAGTGATAGTCCTGAGAGCAATAATTTTCCTTTTATTACTAGAAAGTGACCTCTGCTGCTTTATTATATAACTTCTTTGCTTCATCTCTTTCAACTTTCTTTCAGCAAGAATTTGTCTGAACAGAGATTGTAGCTTGATTATCTTTTCTATATCGTAATCTTGATCAAATTCTGGTAGAATATTTTTAGAAACTTCCTCTTCAAAGATTGGCTTTGCAATCTTATTGTTAGCAATTGGTCTTTCCTTCTTTTGAGTTGAGATCTCGTTACTACACAGAAAACTTGAAAACGGGTCTTTTGAGCCAAAAGCAGGAGTATCTTCAATTTTATTCCCGCTGGTGTTCTTCTGTTGCGTCTCAAAAAGATTAGAAATCTTATCTTGCTGCTTTGAATATTCAAGGGAGTCTTCAACCGATGTGTTATGAATCTCTTCAGTAACTTGTTCTTTAATAGAATCGAGACCTTTATCAGTAAATGTCATGAGGGTATTCTTATTTTCTATGATACCCTCATCAGCTTCCTCTTCATCTTCTTCAGGCTCGTCAGGCTCAGAATAATCTTCTGGGATCTTAAGGTCTGTATTTTTGGCAACAAGATCATTTACAATATTAGCTATCTTCTCTTGCCTAGTCATTGGCTGAGGTTTCTGTTTTATATGATCCTGTATATTATCATCTTCCTTCTGAGGTTTATCATGACTAGATTCAAAATCATTAAGAGCTCCAATTTTCTTATCAAGTTCTTCATCTGCCATGTGGATATCTAGCATAGCTTCAGCTGTTGCTTTGATCTTGGCCTCTGCCATCTTGATCATGGACTCCACGTCATCTCCATTTTCGATGCCTTTTTCTATAAAATCTTTACTTTCTTCTCTCTGGTGATGATCTATCTTCTTGGAGGAATCAGACTCAAGCTTCTGTTCTTTCTGAAATTTTCTGGATGAAGTATGGTTACTGCCTCTCTTCTTTTCAGAGCTCTTCTTTATCTTCTCTTGGTGCTGGCTATAAGACCTATTTTTGAGGATTTTTAGCCTTTCGAGTCTTGAGATTTGGCACATTATCCTTTGCATTAAGAGTGGAAGAAGGTTTCTTAGAGCCATTAGGATTTGAGGTAGCCAGAGTGCTACGGGTTTGGTTCCTTGGTCCCTGTGCAGTCTTTCCTCTAACTTTGCTGTAATTTCTGTTAATCCTAAAATCATTCTGCTGTCTCCCTGATCTATTAGGCTTTACTTTAATTGGTTGATAATTATTAAGAGGGATGTTTGTTTCTTCTCCTGACATATAAATCTGTCCATGGACCCAATTATTCTGTCTTTTAGAGGCATAATGAGTTTTAAGAGGCCTTTTCATATAACTTTTGTCACCTATCTTAATAGGACCTTTCTGGTATACCCTTCTTTTATAAACTGGGAGTACCTCTTCATCCTGATTTAAATTTCTCATACTCTGATTAGGCACAGGTTTACCTTGAGCTCTGCCTTTATTAGATATAAGCTTGTCTTGTTCTGCCGTAACTCTGTTGTCAAATGTCGTCATGTTAGGCATATTATTACACTGAGGGTTATGCATATTGGAATCCCGACTTTTTAGTGCTAACTTTTTGCTTTTAGCAATTATCTGCTCAGATTGCTCGTAATAAGGTTTAAACATCAGATCGTCTATCTTTTTCTTTGATTTCTCATGGTCAACACTAGGTAGAGCACCTTTAGCGATAGCTATTTCAGAGATAGTACTAGAATTATTATCTTCTCTAGTTTTCATTCTCAATTGTTTGCTTAATATTAGCAATATAGGACTCTTTTATGTTTCCCTCTGAAGGTTGCTCGTTTAAATAAGACGGCCTCACCTCGTTCTGGGCTGTATAGGGCTTATCTTTAGGCTTCCCTTTATTCTTCATGGACTTTCCCCGATTCTGCACTTTCCTCTTTTGGCTGCCATAATTGAGGTCCATGAAGGTAGAACCAACAGAGTATGCATTAAGGTTAGGCCGATTATTGCTCTGGCCGGATTTCAGCCTCCGGTTCATTAACTTTCCATTTTTGTATTTGCCTCCCGAGGGTCTTTTAGAGACCCTTGGAATAGCCTTTGGGTCTTGTAAGTAAACAGAGTTTTGGTAATCGTTTTGAAGCCGAGGGTAATCTGTAGAGTACATTTTCAGGTTAGCTGGGTTGTCCATGTTTATTTTTTAAATACAATTTTTGAAAGTTTTGAAGGGGTTTTGGGGTTTTGGGGTTTTGGGGTTTTGGGG